GTCTTAGAGACCTTGTGGTTGATTTTAAAGAAGGGAGCAGTCACTGTGGATATGGGTGGAATGGGAAGCTATGTGGAAGGTGAATGGGGAGGGTGAGAAAGCTGAGAAGAGAGTTCATGAGAAGAAAGAATGTACTGTGAGGCAAGGATTTGCAGAGGTGCTGGGCAGGGCTGTGGAGGCTACACAGAGCCATGGGGCTCCACAATAGCACAGAGAACAGGCTGAAGAATGGAATAGGGTCAAATTGTGGAGGGATTTGAAAGTCAGGATAAAAATGTAATATGGACTTTATAGATAGATGTCCACCTTGAATAGGAAAGCAATTGGAGATGGGTAAGGAAGTAAAACGGAAGGGAAGGCGAAGAAGGAATGCTGCCAGAAAGGATGTCAGGGGCTAAAGGGAAGGCTGAAGAACCCAAAGCTAAGGGCACAGGTTTTGGAGTCAGCCTGAATTTAACTTGCACCTCTGTCACTTCTGAGCCATATGAAGGGCTGAGTCACTCAACCTTTCTGAGGTTCATTTCCTCCTCTATAAAACAAGACTAAAAATACCAATATTGAGCAACTAAGTTGCAACTATTGATCTCTCCCTCTCTGGAGCAAAGAAGAGTGAGAAAAATCAAAGACATAAGGAAACTAATGGGCCTCATGACCCCAGCCTGAGACCAGAAGAAACAGGTGGTAACTGGCTACACTGTTAACCTTTCAGAAAGGGATCACAATAGGAGGTTCTGAATAGTGTGGGAGAAAAACATATGGAACAAAACTCAAAATCATAAAACAAAACAAAAAACAGGTTGGTTAAGAGACTGGCAGAAGTCCCCAGGAACTATGGCACTTTGACACTCTTCGGGCCTGGATCTGAACTCACCCCATGGTTCCACTTTCAGACCAATGATAGGCCTATAAGGTGAACAGTAACACAAGGAGGTATACACTCCTTTATGAGTTAAAAAGAGCAGCATTTGCTCAGGAATAAAGCTCAGAAGGCAGGAAGGGACAGGAAAGAGGGACTAATGGAAGAAGAGTACTGTTACATTATGGAGACTACATTCAATGTCAGCAAGCAAAATGTGTATGAATTTCCGAATGGAAACCCAGTTTAAGCTGTATGTTGTTGTGAAGTCCGTCAAGTCAAATCCTACCCATAGTGACCCTGTATAGGGTTCCAAGAAGTAGCTGGTTAGCTTAATTTTGCAGTTCAAACGGCTTTGCAGTCTGGTGCATTAACCTACAGCGCCACACCAGGACTCCTTACTCTGTATACTTTCACCCAAATAACAATAAAAGTTAACTCAATCAATAAAAATACCTATCTCATGGGTGACTGTGAAGTTAAGCTAATGAGATAAAATGATGGCATATGTAAGGCGCTTAGCAAAGGACTAGGCACATGGGTGGTGGTGGGTGGTGGTTATATGCTGTGGAGTCGGTTCCAACTCGTAGCAACTCTGTCTAAGGTTTCTGGGAGTTGAGAGCCTCATCTTTCTCCAGCGGAGCAGATGGTAGATTTGAACTGCTGATGTTGCAGTTAGCAGTTCAACTTGTAATCCACTACATTATCAGAGCTCCTTGGTTGTTGTTGTTAAGTGCCATCGACTCAGTTCCGACCCATAGCAACTCTGTATAAGGTTTCTTAGGAGCAGCTGGTAAGATTGAACCACCAACCTTACGATTTAAACCGACTTTGCAGTCCAGTGCGTTAACCCACAGTGCCACACCAGAGCTCCTGGGTTCAGTAAAAAGTAAATTTCTAAACTCATTGAGAGCAATTGAGAATGTTAGGTTCTGGGCCCCTAAGAACCAGAGAGCAATGTCAGACCTGTGCTGGTCTCCCCTGGATCTGAGCCCTTCCAAGCCCTGCCATTCATTCTTTCCTTTATATACATATATTTGCACACGCACGTATGAGTACAGCAAAATAAAACTCAGGCAGAAACATGTCAAGAAACATGCTGAAGAAAATACTATGAAGTCACAGCAGGGATTCCTGTTATTCGGCCAGTGTTGATTCAACAGGATGTGGAGGGACCAGAAACACAGATGGGCCAGGACTGCTGGGGAACAATCCAGGAAAGTATTGCCCTCCTAGGCTTAAGACAGAGACTAGTTCTATTATTATGGTTCTTTTTTTTGTTGGTTTCTTAATGTACTGTTTGCTCTCTTGCCCCTGAAGGCAGTTTCAGGACTTCAGCAAGTTAGCACCTGTTTGCATAATTATAGCTAAGCTAGTTTGGGTTGGGGGTTGTTTTGTTCTGTCTTCTTTTTTTGTTACATTCTTCAATATCTCCGAGCTAGCTGTGATGGTTGTTTTGACATTGTCTATCAAGAACTCATGGACACCGGTCTAAATGCCTTTAATGTTGCCATCAGTGGCTTGTTTAAACAGTTTTAATTTCTACAGGGTTTTATGAATTGCTCATCATTTAAACAAAGCTAGCAATTCTAGTATCATTTCAAAGAATTGCTTGGGGCATGAGGTCACAAATAAACTCCATCTTCCTGTCAATTCCTAGAAATCATGGTACAGCGAAAGAATAAACTAGGTCATGATGCCTTTACTGCAGTTAATTTATTTTACATGCTTACTACATGCCAGAGTCCCTGTGTGGTACAAATGGTTAACACACTTGATTTAGCAAGAGATTGGAGTCCACCCAGAAGCCCCTTGGAAGAAAGACTTGGTGATCTACTTTCAAAAATTGCCATTAATATCCCGTATAGCACAGTTCTATTCTGACACATATGGATCACCATTAGTCAAAATCAACTCAATGGCAGTTGGTGGGAACTATGTGCCCCAGCTGGAGTACTAGGTTCTGGGTATAGAGTGGTGAACAAGACAGCATAGTCTTTGCCCTCATGGAATTTTCTGTATCCTTTCCCAAATAGGAAGTACAGTGGCTCCATAGGATAAGCAGTGGACTGCAAACCACAAAGTCTGTGGTTTAAGCCCACCAGCAGCTCCACAGGAGAAAGATGAGGCTTTCTGCTCCTGCAAAAATTTAAAGCCTTGGAAACCCTATACAGAGTCGCTATAGGTCGGAACCAACTTTACAACACTTAATAATAATAGTAACAACTTTCCCAAACTTACACTTTGTATAACAGGATGACCTAATTATCGACCCATTGATATGTAAGAAGTGATGATCTACTTGTCAATGCTCCATCTACATCCTTCTCTGACATCCTTTGTGTCCAGATTATATATTTGGGTGAGGAAACAGGCACAGTGTGAATTAGACCAATGCCAACTCCCTATAGGTCCTAACCACAGTTGTTCCATCAACACTCTGTTCTAACCATCTGGCCTAACCCGTTGGAGACAAGTATGGTTGCTCCTTAATAAACCACTGTAAAAGTTACTATAAGTGATTGCTTAATAATGTTTTTGGCCTAAGCGTATTCTTCATATATCTATCAATGTCTAGGGCATCTCGACAGAAATGGTACATGGCTCTTTTCCACGTTTTATTTCATTTTTCCCCTCAGAAGAAATCTAAGAGACAGATTGATAGTGATAAGTCACACACAGAGAAGATTCCTTCCTGTCACATAGAGAGAAAGCTGGGCAGGCATCAGCCATTCATTCCCGTCTGGGGCTGCTTCCTCATTCTGCAAGCATGACCACTCATAGTCTAATCTGTGTCACTAGCTTGACAGTGAGATTCACTTTGTAATTCAAAGTATACTGAATACTTGTTATGTGTGACACCTCGTTTCTCTGGACATGGTCAAAATTCCATTTGAAGACTCACCAATTTTCAAGAATCTCAAGATCCCCAAACATGAAGACCCCACAGATGCTCCAGAGAACGGCTCAAATTCACTACTACAGAGGCTCTGAAGAGTGAACGTTAGCAGGAAAAGAAACAACTGAGTATTTTCATGTTGTAAATTCTTTCTTCATCCCCCCTCTCTGGGCTTCTTGGGGCCTACAAAATGCATCTGTCTGATGTCCTGGGAGAGCCTTAAGTAAATATAAAGCTATAATGAGGAAGCTCTGGGCCACGTGGGAGAGACTAGTGTGGTAGAGAGTCGCAGTGGGACTGGAAATGTGGGCCTCAGAAGGCCAAGGGATCTCATCTGCAATATAATTGATGCTCTGTTTGTTTCCATCACCCAATAAACTATGATATGCTTTGTGGGGCGAGTTCTGCATCCTGCTCTCCACATAGTCCCAGGGCAACATCTGGCTTATAGTTGATGATCAATAAACATTTACTGAAAGTGGGAAAGAAGACAGGCAGGAAGGAAGAAATTGTGTTATGAGTACTTAAGCTTCTGAGAAGGAGACAAAGAAAACTTGGAGGAGACATAAGGCTGGGGTGAGAACAGGGCTGGTACTCTTTTTTTTTTTTAAGTTTTTATTGTAGATTGAGTGAAAGTTTACAGGGCAGATCATCAGTTTTACATTCAACAAATCATGCACCTTGTTTCATTAATGCACCTTGTTTCATTACAATGATTATAATCCCCTCCATGTACCATCAGTTAACAGTATTTCTCTCTATTCACTTTAACTTTTTAAAAAAAACAAAAACAAAAAAACACTCAGGCATATATAATGATTTACACCTCCAGAGGGCACATTCTGCAAGTCTGCCTCCTGGCTAGCAGCTCTTAGTCCCTCTCTTCCCATGAACTCCCCGTCTCCATGACCCCATCTCTGCCTCCTTCTCTGGCTTGGCTGCTTCTCTGGATAAGGTCCCATATTCTGCTTGCGCTCTTCTCCCTTGATGGTCCTAGGGTCTTCTGTTTCTGGACTATAAGATTAACTACTCCCCTGTTTGTGTTACAAAACTTCTGCCTTTACAATTGTGACAGTTGCAATTAATCATGATAACAATTATTCATTATTAAAGCATACAAATCTTATTCCCATCTCTTTTCACCAGACCTATCTAGACAAGATGAAAACTATTCAGTGGGGACTCTTTCTTTCCCCTCATACTCCTTTTTTTTTTTGAAGGCAGATTTATAAATTTATTTGATCATCAACTGTTAGTTTTCATCCACATTGACTGTAGGTTTTTGAAAGTGGTGACCAGTATATAGAGCTTGTTTGGTGAATCTTTATCCTCATTATGTTTTCTGGACAACTGCACCTGGATACAGTACGGGACGTTCCTGATTCCTTTAGCCCAGACAGCTTTGTTGAGCCTGGTGTCAATGCGCACGTCTGGTGTTCCCATCTCCTTCATGGCAAATTTCCGAATCTCCTTGAGTGCTCGAGGGGCACGCTTCTTGAAACCTACTCCATGGATGCGCTTGTGAATGTTGTTGGTGTACTCTCTGGTCACCATTTCATTGATAGCAAAATTGTCCTTCTTCTTCTCACCACCCTTCTTTGTGGGAGCCATAGCAATGGGACCAGGTTGGAAAGGAAGAGGGTAAAAGATTATGGGGTACCCCCATACTCTTAAACTAAACTTCCTCTTGAAACCTTGTAAGCCAGTCCCTTCATGCCTTTATCGCCCCCTCATTTTAGGTAGACAATATCTAAGTTGCCCATCCCTATCTACCCTGTGTACAGAGGGGATAGCATTGATACTTGATGTGAAGACCCCTTCCCTCTCTGTTGGTACTTAGAGTTACTACTTCCATGAGTATAGGTCTGGTTCATCAAATTGTAGCAATTTACCCTTGTTTCCTTTATCAAAAAAATTTTTTTTGGTAATTTTCCTCTAGTCATGTTCCTCTAGTCATTATCAAGCCATCAAGGCTAGGTCAAATGGGTACTGTCTCCAAGTTTGGGTGTTCTTGTGCATCTCCCCTCACTTCATATCAGCTGGATGCTTCACACTCAGCTCTAGCACTCTGTGGCTCTGTCCTTGTCCATGGGCTCAAGTGTTCTCAGGTCTCACCACACTTTGGTACAACCAGCACTTCCTCTTCTCTCTCTCATTTCCAGGTCAATGACAGTCAACGGAATGTGGTTGAACTCAGCTCATTTCTTCCTTGCTGTCTTCCCTCTCTTCCACTCACCAGTAGACAATGTGGTCACCAGCAAGTTTACATGCCTATTTGTCTGTTCCCTTTGAGTTTTAGTCTTAGAGGGAAGTTTGTCCTGAAGGAACTTGGATTGCTTACCTTGATGGCTTCCTGGTGAACAGCTTGCTTATTCTTGTAGTAGCCAGTCATGCTGACATTTTTGTTATGGGTTTTTCCTGATGATTTATCTTTGAAGATGTATCTTCTGTCACTCTAGCTGTTCCAGGCTGATCTGCTTGTCCTTGCTAGTGGGAATGTCCCAACTTAAAAGGTTCTGAATGGGACTCAGGATTCCACGTAAGGTCCTATACTTTGAAAAGGCTTTGCAACAGGCCTCTTTCACCTGGCAAGCTCTAGAACCCTTTGAGGTATTCCAATCAGTTATAGGATGGAGACAAGCTTGCAAGTTTTCTGTAATCACGTTTCCCAACATTCCTTTCTATCCCACTCAAGTGTCTATATTACAATAGTCTATTTTTCCCTTTGGCAAGGGAAACCAATATTCATAAGACAGTCAAACATTTTAGTATTATTTCCCCTCTTCAAACTATGCCTAGATTCCTATATCACAGAGCCCTGTTGTTCCAAGGTTGAACATGCATCACTATTCACCTCTGTCCCACTTAGCCCATGCAAACCTGTCTCAGTGTTTCCCTATCTATCTTGTTCTCCTTCCTCCTCCCCCTTCTTGTATTGCCCTCCCCAACATCCGAACTAAACCCCCCACCCCAAACCTACTGTTGTGGTTACCTTATATTCCATTAACTCTTCCCTCCTTGATTACACCATCATATTTGATTGACACTTTGCTGGGTAGAGGATTCTTGATTGGCAATTTTTTTCTTTCAGGGTTTTATATATGTCTCCCCATTGGCTTCTTGCCTGCATGGTTTCTGTTGCAAGGTCCGAGCTTAATTTGATTTGCTTGCCTTTGTATGTTACATTTCTCTTTTCCCTAGCTGCTTTCAGGCTTCTGTCCTTATCTTTGATTTTGGAGAGCTTGATTATTATATGTCTTGGTGATTTTCTTTTGGTGTCTATCCTTCCTGGGGTTCATTGAGTTTCTTGAATACTTATCTTTTCACTTTTCAGGATGTTAGGAAAATTTTCTTCCAGAAGCTCTTCAACTATCTCCTCTGTGGACTTGTTCTGAAATACTGATAATTCTTAAGTTATTCCTCTTCATGTTGTCCAACATGAATCTTGAGGCCTTCTTCAGATTCTTTTTTATCCAGTTTTGTGTTTGCTCTTCTATCTTAGTAATGTCGAGAGATTTATCTTCTAACTCACTAGTTCTGGCTTCTATCTCTTCAATTCTACTCCTTTGCCCTTTCAGTGTATTGTCCATTTCTGATATTCTGTTATTTATCATTTGGACCTCTTTCTGTAGACTTTGAATTGTTTCCAATGCTGTATCTATCTTATTTGATTGTTGCTGTAGTGCTTTCCTGACTTCTTCCTTATTTTTTCAACGCCGTTGTATAGTGTTTTGATACATTTTATAATCATTTCTCTGAATTCCTTCTCAGGCATTTTCAAAGCCTGCCCATATTCCAGTATGGAGTGTAGGTCTACTTCCAGCTCATTTGCCTCAGTCACTTTATCTTATTTCTGGACATGTGCTGATATGGTCAACCGTTTCTGTGTTTTGGGCATACTCAGGAGTTATCTGTGGCCTTAATACTTAGATGGGTGTGTATTTTGGTATTTTTATGCCTTCTGATTGCCTCCAGGTAGATGTGATCAGAAGATGGGCTTCCCTTTTCACTCTTCTTCCTGAGAAATTTGGTCGTTGTGACGTAACTCAGGATTTAATTTTTGGCCTATTTCCTTTTTAGTCTGCCTGTCCCACTGCACAATCCCCATTCAGGCCTTTCTCCTAGTGATAAACAGTTCAGGGCTAGCTGTGGCCATTTTGCACTGCCATTTGGTTTTAAGTGGAAACTGTCACTTTAAATTTTGAGGAGATCTGTGCGCATGTGTACTAGAACCCTCCGGGAATGGGGGTAGGGTGTCCAATCACTCAGCCCCCCCCCCGCCCCAGTCACCAGAATGGAGGTGTGCAGACAGTGAGAGACTAATGAATAGATACAAAAAAAAAGAATGACCACACCTTTATCTCCACAGTTCTGTCAGGCATCTGTGGCTGCTCTGATCCTTTCCCACCTTGGTCTCACCCAAGATGGTAGCTCTGGGAGCAGCTGAACGTCTTGAATTAGAAAACAATGGGTTTTTTGCTTCTGCTACAAAATCCTCTATCTATAAGCCTTCCAAAATTCTAAATATTCCTTTATATGTGATTCAGAGTTCTGGGACCCTCCCCTGAGCCTACTTGGTCCAGTATTGTGTTGTTGCTGACAGAGCTCCTCAATGCACTTCCACCCTCTCTGCCATCTTGTTTGTTCCCTGGCACGCTTTTAAAAACAGAAACTCCCAAGTTATCACAGGCGAAAGCCCTACAGACAATACAGGTTGAGGACAGGGTCACCTTGGGTCTGGCGGGAGTCAAAGGGTGTATGAATTCTGTTGCTCCAGAAGATAACCACTTAGTCCAGTAGGGGACAACACCAGAGCTCAGAGCAGCATGTGGCAGTAACCCCGGTGGAGATGTGGTGTAAGCTCACAGACAAGTGATGATGCCCAGGTTGGACCCATGTTGTTGTTGTTAAGTGTCCTCGAGTTGGTTTTGACTCATAGTGATACTGTATAGGATTTCTGAGGAGCAGCCTATGAGCTTGGTCCGCAGATCTCACAGTTCAAACTGACTCTGCAGTCCAGCACACTGACCCACAGCACCACACTAAGACTCAATAGGTGGACCCATAGGAGAGAAATACTAAAGGCCAGGTCTCTTTCTTCCAGAGGGCCCTCAGGCAAAGTGGAGTTCTGCCCTGGGGGCCACAGAACCAGGGGCCATCGGAGGCTCTGTAGATCATGGATTAAGTCCTAAAGCACAGCTTTGAGAGGAATCTTGGTCACATTTTAGCTCATCCACAAACAACTCTACTTTTACATTCAGCCACCCTATGAGGTAAACAAGACAGGAACTATTCCCTGTTTCACAGACGAGGAAACAGAGGTTCAGGCTAAATAACTTGCCCCAAGTCACATGACCAATGAAATACCAGCACCTGCACTTCAGGATTCTGGCTTCAATCTCCTTGTCAGAGGAGCATGGCTATTGCAATGATGGGAATGATCAACAGAGGGCAGCCTTCACAAAGAAGACGTCTATCTCAGACACGGATCAAAGTCAATGCCACTAATATTGGAACAGACCCACTAATAAGATGCACTGAAAAGGACACATCACCTCTGAGATTTTCTTGTCTTTCAAATCTTCCTAAATATAGTCATGAAATGTTGTTGTTCTTGTTAAGTACCGTGGAGTCGGTTCTGACTCATAGCGACCCTGCACAGGGTTTCTGAGGCTGCAAATCTTTACGGGAGCAGATTGCCTCATCTTTCTCCCGCGGAACAGCTGGTAGTTTCGAACTGTCGACTTTGAGGTTAGCAGCCTGATTCGTAACCACTACGCTACCAGAGCTCATTTCATGAAACATTAAATAAGCTTAAATGGACATGCAGGAACATTCTATAAAACACAGTGTCTGTTTCTATCACCTGTCTGTCACCTGGAGGTGGCTTGTGTGGTGCTGTGATGCTGGAAGCTATTCCACTAGTATATCAAACATCATCAGGGTCACCCATGGTGGATAGGTTTCAGCAGAGCTTCCAGAGTAAGAGACTAAAAAGACAGACCTTGAAAACTACATCTGAAGAAAATTGTTCTATGGAAACCTTATGGATAGCAGCAGAATATAGCTAGCATAGTGCCAGAAGATGAGCCTGTCAAGTTGGAATGCATTCAAAGTATGACTGAGGAAGAGCTTCCTTCCTACAAATCTTATTATAGTTTATTGGGTGATGGAAATGAACAGTTTATGTTAATGATGTGGATGGAATAAAGCTTTCAGAGCCTTCATTTGCTGATGGGGCACAGTTCAAAATGAGAGGAAACAGCTGCAGGCAACTATTAGTAAATGAAATGTGCGATGCACAAAGTATGAATCTATGAAAATTGGAAGTTATCCAAAATGAAATGGAATGCTTGAAGATCGATAACTTAGGCATGAGTGAGCTGAATGCCCTAGAATCAGCCATTTTTGATCAGCAGTCATATGGTCTATTTGCTGGGAATAACAAATTGGAGAAGAACTGCATCACATTCATTGTAAAAAAGAACATTTCAAAATCTGTCCTGAAGTATATCCCTGTCAGTGATAGGATCATAACCATATGCCAACAAAGAAGATCGATTGAATGATGCAGAAAGCAACAAAAGAAGATGGCAAGCATATAGACTTAC